CAGTAAACTACGATCTAAACCGAAAAGTAGTGATTTTATAACTCGACTCATGTTACATACGAGTACTGAATTTAATGTGATTATCATAACAAGAATGATATATGTTGTTTTTTTTATTAATTCTAGTATGATAATCACTCAAATATTAACTATTCTCTATATGAAGACGATATCTACAAATGATTAGCTGTTTTATTTACAAATGTTCATCTGTTTTATCAATATTTCTCATACAATCAAACATTAATTTCAATTATTCTATAAGTTCAGTGCATTGAGTAAAGCTTGAAATAATTAATTTCTATTTAATTCCAATTCAGAAGTGCAATAACAAAGATTCTTAAGTCAGTGACATCTATCAACTTATAAAATCAGTATCTATTTAAATTTTTTTTTTTATTATAAAGCTATGATCAATACAAAACATCAGTGTAAATATAGACAAATTTATAAAGAAGTGAATGCTGAGTACTATCAATTAACAAACATTCTCATATGCAAAGAAGGGCAAAAAATATTAAAGCGATTGGTACGCCATCGTATAACCATTTAAGTCCCAATGTTTTTGTTTTCCAAAAAAATGTTAAAATATCATTTTTATTTATGTTTTAAAAGGAATTACAATTCTGTATCAAAAGAAAACATTAGCAGTTCTTTTTTTGTATCATAGCCTTTAAAGCAATCAATAGTATATAGAGGTACATTGCAGTCAGAACACATACAGTCAAACCGAAAAGCACTGGGACACTTAAAACCACTTCTACCCTTTTTCAAAAGCGATTGTGGCCTATCCACATGCAGATCACATGAAATTTCAGAATATGTTGGAGCTTTAGTGGAGAGACTATAGTAAAATTTTCAGTCCAATGCCGTCATGTTTGAAGGAGGTATTCACTAAATAAAGGTAAACAATAGCCGAATTGGCTGAGTTTTTGGAGTTATAGAACTGGTCAACTCGTTTCTTCGCTTGACAACCAAGAATATAAAAAATGACCCTTTGAAGCGCTGCATTCTGAAATGCTCTTTCTAATAAAAAACAAAAAGATTAGATATATAGAATGAATGCCTACAGAAAATTTTAGGTTGCTAATTCGGCTATTATTGACTCTTATTTAGTGAATATCTTTCTCAAAAATCACGACATTGAGCTGAAAACTTCATGTGAAGCCAGAATCTGTGGCAAATGATAGGCATTCAGAATATCTCTTGTGTTGAAAAATGATTGAAATTTTTTCGAAAGTAAATGAAAAATTTTAAAATTATCTAACTTATAATTTTAATAAAACAAAAGATTTTCAAAAGAAAGCAAATAAAATTAGACGTATTGATTCATCAAGCAACTCAAAAATAAAGGTGAAAATCTATTTGAAAAAGTTGAATAGTATTTATCTGGGTCGCAATCACTTTACCGAAAATAGCTTTGCCGACGCATCACTTGGCCGACACCACTTTACCGACAAATTGTTTTGCCGACACGTACTTTTTGCCGACAATTTATTGTAGATACAGTGATAAATATGTCAGCGTTCATACTTGAATGCCTCCAATCTCGGATTGGTCTAGGCCAATGTCACATTGGACGTACTATTTTCAGGCAAATCTTAGATTGCCTAGGCTAGTCCGAGATTGGACGTATATGTGGGCATGAACGTGATATATATACATAAAGAGATATAGATCTCACCATAAGTTACTATTCATTCATGGCTTCAAGTAAAAACAGTGACATCGGTACAAGCAGTTAGGGTGTGGGGTGGGTGGGTATTTGTAATTTTGATTAAAAGAATTTAAAAAGCTCAAGAAAATAAAGAATTTTTGTATAAAAAAATTAATCAGGTTTTATTAATATCAACAAATTTTGTCTGTAAAACAAGTTGTCGACAAAGTGTACATGTCGGCAAAAAGTACGTGTCGGCAAAACAAGTTGTCGGCAAAGTGGTGTCGGCAAAGTATTTTCGGCAAAGTGATACGGACCCATTTATCTATTCGATGAATGAATTAATAAATAATAGATTCAATACAAAGAATTACAGACAAAATTAATAATTTTGAGTATACTAAAGTTTGACACATCGTTATTTCTCTCTACAAGTGAATCTCTTCACAATATGATGTGATGATCACTTTAGTGCTTCCTATAATTCATTTCAATAATTTCCGACCGTAGATCTTCAGTTATATACTTAATAAAAATCATATTTGAGTAAATTGAATGAATAATTAATTTCTTATATTAAAAAAATCCATGTATTTCAATAAATAAAATAAAATAAAAATACAATTCAACATGTATAGGAATTTAGTAGTTTTTTTTCTGAAACGACTCGCCCATCGACTGAGCAAACTAAGAAATGAAGAGTGAGCCAGATGCACCTCGACGAACTCTATCCATTGCAAAAAAAAAATCTTTTTTACTGCACGACCTGAACAACTTATGGAATTTAGCTTATTCCATGCAGAGTGTGTGTGAACTAAAAACTCACACTTATACCCAAAGCATATCCTCAAACTGAACTCATCGTTTATGAGATTATAAAATTTTCTGATTTTCGTCTAATCAATGGAAAGTACTGAGCAAAGAGTATGAATTCTCTAATAACTGATATCAATCAGAAAGTAAATTAAACCAGTTGTATTCATTTACAATCATAATGATTTAAATTTCGTTTAAAATACGAAACTAACGAACACATGTTTTAGATCATCGCAACACAAAATAACGATTTCAAATTATGTGTCGAGAAAAAAAGTGTTACAGGCTCAATTTTTCGATCATTTAGTTTTCCGTTTGCAACGTTAGAAATGGACATTTGTGTGATTAAAAAGAAAGAAAAAAAAATCATATTCATTTAATCTAGAAATCGATTGTCACTTAGCAATACTCTCTCACTCTCTTGTGATAATTGAACAAACGGACAAGAGTAGCATCTTAAAGATGTATTTTGTAGTTTTATTATTGAACAAAATTAATTTATTTTATAATTATTTCAGTTTTCTTTAGCAGTTTTGCTTTTTATATCACTTATTTGATGTTATAAATCAATAAATGCATTTTTTTTTTGTATTAGATCTTCAATAGAAAAAAAAAAGGTGTCATAAAGTAATAAATATAATTGATGACTTACAACATTCAACAAAGGATCACAATATTTTTTATATGTATTTGAAATAATATATTTTTTTAGTGAATAGATTTAAAATATGATTGATTTCATCAATTAGTTTAGGTAAATATGAATATTTTTCATTCTAATCATCAATTAAAGTAAGAATAATTTATTGAAGAAAAAAAAAAAAAACATGAAGAGACCCTCATCAAGAATCAACGCGTCATTAACTTACAATACTATTAACAGATAATTTGATTGTTAAATATGTTGTACTTATAGAGCATTTTGAAAGCTTTTAATTGATGTTTTCTTGTTAATCGATCGATTATAGGAAATATTAACATAGAATTTTGCATACATCATATTAACTAAATTTGTTCAAATGCTTGTCAAACAAATATTTTTTATTCTTATTTGATTCTAATAAAAGAAGATCTTCTCGATTAACTTTATTAAAATATTATTCTTTATTTCTTACGTAATCTATGAGTTAAATTATTATAGCAAGTAAAATATCTAATTAGTTTATATAATTAATGAAAATATATTCCATTTGATCGTTTGTAAATGACTATTTCAATAATCGAATAGAATTTCTATATTCGACCATTAACTAATTTTATCTTAATCCATTGAGACAATGATAATCGATTATATGACAGTATCAATGGGTACATTTCATCATAGACAATGAATGTCGACTATGTATATATATATATATATAAACAAACTTTCAGTTCCCCGTAAAAAAAAGGCGTTTTACATTTGTTTTTTTTTCACATGAACAGGAAGTGCTTCATTTTTAACCTATATTTATATCATTTCCGTCATCAACGATGACTAAATCTAATTCTGTGTTCATGTTTTCTTTTTCAAAAAAAAAAATATTAATTATAGGGTAGTACTCAAAGATGTTTTTTTCTTTCCAGATGATAGAATGTCATCTGCAACAAAAACAAAATATAGAATAAATTTTATATTTAAATTTATCCTTTCAAAAATAGAATTTATTGACATGAATCAATATAGATAATGATGAGTCTTTCTTGTCTAGTCTTCAAAAATATCTTAATTATTATGTATTAAAAAAAAATTCATCAAAACTTCTTTCTCACGATGAACTTCAATTTATTGTCATTTTGAGTATAAAAAAAAGTCAACGATATGAAAGTTGAAAATTAGTCAACAATATGCATAGTAATCAAGCAATGGTTTCTTTCTATTCTCTTTAACGTCAGAATCGATGATGATATGATAATGAGAACAACATTCTTGTAATTTTTCATCTCTTTCTTTATTTCCATACTTCCTCTTTCGAATGAATAATATGTGGAGTAAAAAAAATAACATATATTTATATATATAAGAAACTCATATTTATCTTCATGAGTTTATAAATTCAATTTCTAATCAGATTGTTCATTATTATCATGTTCTATTCGATTTTTTAGATCATTTTTCTCTTCATATAAACTCCTACTATTTTATTATAATATATAAAAATTATATAAAAAAATTCTATTCATTTCTGGAATTTATCATAGAAAAATTGTCATGAATTTATATATTAATAGATTTAATATTAAGTAAAATTTATTCTAAATATTATTTGCAGGTAGAATTCTATCTTCTTGGAAATGAAAAGAAAATTTTTTTGCACTCTGCACAAACTACATTGATAAATATTTGGCGCAATAAAACGTGTTTATGTTATATCGTGCATTGTAACAAAATAGCTACAATGACGACGATAAATGTATGTCAAGGTTATCACAGTGTTGGATACATATATAAATATATATATATGTAAGAGTTTCTTCTCACAGTAATAAAACACAATCGAATTGGATTGAATCCATAATAAGATATCATCAATTCGAGATAATATTATCATACACCTTCAAATTCATTTGTATCTTCTAATACTGGTGGTACACGTGGTGTTACCATTTGTGTCAGAAATGGTTGTGTATGAGTATCAACACTGGATTGACGACGTACATAGAATGGTGTTGGTTGTGTGAGAACATTTTTATTACCTAGAAAGAAAAACAATAATAAATAATAGATATAAATGAAATATTAGTTTGTTTTTTTCAACATAGAATATTTTTAGTAAAATCAATTAATTTATACTAATATTCTTATTAGTAAAAATAAAAGAATGAAATATTTTTCTTTGTTATAACAATTAATTTTCCCTTTATTTTTCTTGATATTAAAGTCTGTATTTTTATTTATGAATTTGTTATCTTTAATGAATCGTATATTTTCTAGATTAAGACCTTCATGTTAAGTATATATTCATTTGTGTTGTTTTTCAGACTTTTTTTTCCAGATCAATTAACTTAAATTAAATATTTATAATAATATAAACAAAAAGAGAATATTTTCTAAATATAACATATTTCTTTTTTATTTACATCATTTTTATTCTCTTTGAAGAAATCAGCATTTTTTGTTTTGATATAGCAATATTCTTATCTTAGAAATAAAAATTAATCGTTCATTAATATATCGATATCTATTTTTTCTTTTTTGATGAAACAGTTCGTTTTAATAAATTCCTAATAGTATTGACGTCGAAAATATTTTTTCTTCTTCTATTAATTTAGTTTCATTGTACGTCATGATATAGATGATGAACGACTAATAATAATCATCAGTCTTAATCGATGTTCTGTTAGAATTGCATTCAAGGAAGAGCAAAACATCTCTCCAATGATTAATATTTTATTATTTTTCTCATTCTTTCCTCTAGTTTCTACGATGAGAGTGGGTTCTCTTGTTGATTGCCCTAATTTTTATAGTTATCTATATAGCTCGTTGTTAATATATAGACGAGAGCTGGGGGGGAAAAAAAATGAGACGTGTGAATGTATGTAGATCTAATAAATGGTTACCAAATAGAAAAGAAATTTTTTTCTGACTATTTTAGCAAATACTTTTAATTCACTAGCATTCATCTTGCAATCGATCTAAATATAGTTTTCTTGTTGTGTAACTAAAAGATAAAGAAAGACAATAACATCCTATTTTCTTTTTTTTGCTCTCTTTTTCTAATCAAGCAATAAAGATGTCTTTTCAATGGATTTGCCCGTTTCATTATTTATACTTCGTTTTATTATGCGATCATATGTGTTTCAATTACTTTTTATTATCGGTTATACATGTTTCAATATTTTTTTCGATCTAATACTGCCTTATTTTTTCTTCTTATTATGTATTCTAGTCATTGTCATTATAAAGAAATACAAACAATAAAGAAAAATAAAATAAAATAAAATAGCTTATCGATTGTGACAAATCTAATTTATTCTCAATACTAGACGTTAATTTTCTATCATATATATGTGCACAACAAAATATATACAGAGGCCGCGCGAGGATGCGAAGATTGGGGAGGAAGGAATACACTTCCCACTTCCGCAACTCCTAAATATATATTTGTATATTAGTATAATAATACCTGATAGTTGAATAAAAAGAATACCCCATCGAACTGACCAAATCCATCCAACAAGTAAAAAAATTGTTGCACCTTGTAAAATAGCTGCAAGAAGATTGTATAAACATGCAACAATATTTTTTTCATAACCATGTTTACCACAACAAAATACAGCAAATGCACTAATTAATGTACCTAAAAATAGATTAAAAAATATGAACATATTTATTATTATTATTATTATTGTTGTTGTTGTTGTTGTTGTTTTTTTTTGCTTTCATCATCATGTGTTATTCTTCTGTCACACGATGTAATTCGATGATACTAACATACGCTTCATTGAAAATGTCTACATTTGTTTCTTATTCTCATTTTTCTATTTTCTTTACAACAAAGTTTTAATTCATGATATATGATCATTTGAACTAATATATTATATACAAGACTACCAATGAAATTCTAGTAGTTCAGTAAGAAGAGAAAGAAAGTTTTCTTTTTTTCTTTTTGCTATAGGAAAGTAAAGAATTATAAGGACATTTTTGACAAAGAACTTCCAAGAGATAGAAACAAAGCATAAGTAAATGTGTCTGACCATTTTTTTTTAACAGGATGGACTCATTTGTCATCAAGAAGTGTACACAGTAGGGTATTGTCGTTCGACTACATGACATATACCATTTGTCTTCACACATGTGTAGCTATCAGTATACACAATTACCTTATACCGGGTGTTTTTTTTTTTGTTGTCTACTTCTTCAATTGATCAACACAATCAGTAATATAACAAGCATTATTATTGTTGCTAAGAATATAACTGCAACAGACGGATTAAGCGTGGTGTGAGCGGGGGCTACAATAACAATATATACCAAACAATCAAATTCAAGGAAACCTGTTTTCATGTTAGCTAAATCTGTTTAGTAACTATGTTGATATGAATAGCAATGTTAGTTAGACATGTATTTATGTTGACAATCAAGATGAGAAAAGAAAATAATGTAGGAAAGAAAATAAAATTCTTAGATTAAACTATAGAAAATATGTTGAATAATATTGATTATATAATGAATTATTTTCTTTAGTATTATTCTCATAAATATCTTTAAAAAGAAAAAAAAAGAAAAAATTTCATTCTCATTTTTTTTTCCAATTATTTAAGTGTATTTATAATGTAAATTGACATATTTTGGCTTTTTTATTTTTCATTACATTATGTACATACCTGTTCCAGGTAATATAAGATTGAGTATAAAACAAAAACAAGCTAAAGGCAATGGCATTTGAGGAACAGCTTGACGAAACATTCCTAGTTTGATTTTAGCTGAATGTGTACCACCTGTATTTACTGATGGACGTTTATTTAATGATGTTGATGCGTGACTACGACGAGTATTGCGATTACTTGTATTAGTAGTTATTTCAGTTGTACGTGAACGATTAGTTTCGTGAATATCATTCGGAGTTAATGAAACTGCTTCCATCTTCGTAAATAAGTTTTTCTCTTTTCCTACTTTTTCTTGTTAATAACCTTATTAATAATCTGAAAATGAGTATAAAAAAGAGAATGATAATTCTTTTCTTCTTCTTTTTCTTCTTCTTCATCATCATCATCATCATCATCATCTTCTCTTCTTTTTTTTTTTTTTTTTATAATCTACATTAGAAATGATTCGAAGAATCACACATACACACATGCGCACTACACATCACTAGTTTCTTACTGCTTTAGGCTATGTGCATCTTCTAACATTGACAGAGAATAGGAAAAGAGAGGAAAAGAAAAAAAAAGAGAGCAAGCGATGCTGATGACGACAAGCTGTACGAACTACCGTCTTCACCGTCTCCTGTCATTCCCTATAACGAACGTCTTTTATTTCTCTCTCTCTCTCTCTCTCTCTCTCGTTCTCTCTATCTACTCGTCTTATGTTTGTCTCTTATTTTCTTATTCTTGAAAAAAAAACTGTTTTCCTCTATTCCTTACTCTTTGGGATGATTTCGGGACAACACACTTCTATCATTTATATTCTGTACAACACCGTTGAGACTGATATATGCCAACAAACAACTACTACTACTACTATCCATTGATATTATTACTTGCGGGAGATATTCTATAACTATCTATTCTAACTATCTGTCTTGTTTGCGCAAAACATGCATGCGTGCAAATGAGAAAACCAGATCTATAAAGATAATAATCATAGCACTTTCAAGTGTCTATGTAGTATAAATATAAATATGGATAAAATAATTCTAAGGATTATTTGATCAATAACATGTTTGTCATGTTAGATAGGATATAAATAAAAAAAATGGTTACGATTGATCAGTCTACTGTTAGATATCACATATATCTATTGCTTGATTAACGATAGTACGTGTTTGTTGGATGACAAGAATAATCTCATAAGAGCAGTTAGTTTTTGTAAAAAAAAAAAAAAAAGAAAGTATTTCAAATAACGAACAAGAATATTGAACTAATGTTACAAAATTATCATTGGATTTAGTGTTTGCTTTCGAACTAGTTTCTCATGGCATTTTTCGATGATTAACTTAAGTGAAAAATGATTAATAAAAAGAAAAAAATCAATAACTATTACTGCATTGCAAAAATTTAGTATTTATTTTTATATCAGTTCTATTACATGAAAAGGTTAATTTATAAAAACAACATATGTTATGTAATTTTCAATTAGTATATAGTTTTGTTTAGAATTGTAACATACTATCACTAGAACAAAATGGTTTATTTGATTATACAAAAAAAAAAAAAAAAAATATCATTAACTTGAAACTTTCATTAGTGACAAATTTCTATAAGAAATGATATACAAGATTAATATTATATACAACTAATATGAATAATAAATATCGCAAAATTATATCTATGACTTGATGGAAGAAGTACTATGGTAATCATTTTATAAATAAAGATAAAAAAAAAGTTTTCTTTTGAAAATTTTTTATATTATATGTGTGTTTGATGAATTTATTTGAAGAAAAAGTTTCCAGAGATAAACTTAAGTTTCGCCATTATCTTTGGATAATTAGGTGTTAAATTGTTTTTGTTAATAAATCTTTCAACTAAACGAATAATAATGGAATATCCAATGAATTATTTATTATACTATATAATTACATCGAAATTTCTTTTCTTATGAATAAATAAATAATGTAATGATCTTAAAATAAAATGACTATCGATTAAGATTATTAAATTTGAATGATTGAAAGATATAATGATTAGGTATTTTGTTTTTTGATACAATTATAAAATAAACTTAAATTTTAAATAGAGAAGATTAGATCCTGTTTGTCTTCTTTTTTTTTTTGAAAATCAGTCATTTGTACAAGAATAAAATCTCGAGGATTCTTTGACTTCTACACATTTCTTAAATGCTTGTATGAAGAAGAATCTTATACATTGATGATTACTCTTTCTAAATGCGCTATAGGCTAAGTGTAGATTTTGATCAGGAATTATCTGATAGACTGTATACAATTTATTTTTTTGTACATATGAATATTTAGTAAATAAGAAAATTCTATGAAATGAAATTTATCCAAGAGTTAATAGATACAAAAACGCGGTAATCGAATGGATATTTGAGACATTAGAGAAAAAAAATTTGATTAATAGAAAAATAGGAAATAGTAAAGGAAGGATATGATTTTATCTACTTATTTAATTAAACATCTGCCAGAAATGATAGAACTTCCAAGAGACTTTGAATTGCATGTGTCATGAAAGAGATTAATCATCTCTTTCTTTTTATAATTAGTTTAATTATGTATCTCAAAAGTCCAACTTTGATGATCTTGTTTTTTTTTGTTCCAAACATCTGGTTATTTTATATTATGCACTTATTAACTTATATAAATAGATTATGTTAGAGATCGAATTTTTATTTAATTTTGATTTCTACTCGCTGAATGATCATATATGAGAATTATTAAAATTGATAGAATTTCAATAACTATCTATAATTTCTATGTTAGTCGAGTATCGAAAGTTTATTTCTCTTCAATGAACTATTATTATTTTAATTTTACAACTATTTGAAGCGCCTATACAAAATATGTTTCATATTGATTGGATGTCTGAAATAATAGCGGAGCCAGGGAATGGCGGAAGGAAACTTAGCCCCCTGGGAATCAACAGGATGTAATTCCAGGCACCACTATGAAGTGACATGTGATAAAATGATAATAAATTTATTTGAATGTAAATGCCGAGTCACCGATGTATTTTTTATTAAATGATGAACAAGAATAAGGCAAATTGATGAAGAAGCGGTTGACTGAAGGTCAGAAGTGTTCCGAGCTGGAGGGAATTTCGTCTTTCTCTAGCGAAACTAAACGATATCCTTCGTTTTTTTTTGTTCATCAATACCTGCAATAGGATGGCCGATCTCTCCTCAATCCTGATGACCTCAGAGCACCTCCTATTGAAGGTAGCAGTCTAGAATAAGTTTAATAGCGAAGTAAGGATGTGTATAAGGAAAAGTGAACTATAACTAACGAGAAAATGATTATTAAGAATTAAAATAAAATGAGTATAAGAAAAAGTAGAGAAAACAAAATAATTACAAACATGAATAAATGTATATGTCGTGCCAAAGTTACAACTTCGACACAAAATTTTGTCGAAGTTATTTCAGATCAACTAATCACTAAATAATTATTCAATAATTAATGATATCATAATAAAAAAAATTTATATTCATAGTTAATTTTGCATTATAATAACGTAAATATAATTTTTTAAAAATAAGTGAAATAATTGAAAGATTATTCAAGAACATTAAAAATTACACTTCGTTGATATTTTATATAATTATTGTTCAATTCATACTACTTAGGGGGATTCAAAAGTAGTGGCGCCATTACCAAATTTCTTTATAGAAAGGTTGAAAAAATTTTCTTTCTTTATGAAAAGATAGAGTGTCTTTCGCTCTATTTTTCTATGCTATTTGATCACTATTCAAGTGATATCATAATAATAAAATTTCGGTAAAAACTGTTTTTTTGTTGAAAACTAGCTGGTGGCATTTGGATCATGATAGGTGTAGCATAAAAGAATGGTGCACTTTTGCTTTTCATTTTATTATCATTTGATAGGCT